AGAATTAATTTCATTACGGTATAAGGAAATTTTTTATATAATTCTCTCGAATCGCGAATCTTTCTCCTACTCATGCGTTGCTGATGATCCTCCGATGAAAGCTTAATGATTCTAAATATTTTTAGATTATTCTCATATGTATTTTTTCCTATGAAGAAGAATTTGTATCAATAAATACATCTTTGTAACATAAACCCTCGTCTGATTTTTAATCATTCGTTCCCTTTCAACCGTCATCTTCTTTTCCATGTTTCTTGTCAGGACTAGGTTAATATGAACCTTCACCCTTTTTTAAAAATAAAATCAACACCAATATAAAGTACAAAAAAAAAGAATTTATTCACTAAACGAAGGGTAAATCAACTCAAGTCTGCTACAAAGAGACACGAACTTGTTCATTCCTGTTTTACTTAGCCTTTCTCCTTAAGTGAAAGCGAGAGTCTCCTAGTCTCGAAAATTTTCGTAAAAGACCCCATAAATAATATACGTCGGTACGTCGCAGACAAAGGGTCACGGCAGCAAAAAAATGACCTACGGAGTAAAGAACTGCGTGCTATTTATATCCGTACCTTTCCCCCTCTCCCCCTGACAAAAATGTCTCGGGACCTATTTTCCTCGGCTTTCCCATTCTCCATTTTCACTCTCACTCTCTCTTTCTCAACGTGACCTCTACCTCACCAATCATAGCGTGGGCAGCCATGGAGCAAACTAATCAGTGTGTAGGCAGTCAAGGAGCGAACCAATCAAAATGCTCTATTTAATTACCTCATTATCACCTTTTTCGTCTCCATCCAATCAGAACTCCCATTGTTCCAGACGGACCCGTCTAGGCCACGCCCATGACGTCTGGGGAGGCGTGGAGGGAGTTCGTTTTGACAGCTCGGCGAGGGAGGGGGAGGGGAAGAGGGGGTTTGTTTTGACGGATGTAATTTAAAATCAGATCATTGAGCTAGCATTGCCCCAAACCCATAGCTACTTGCGTCGTTAATTGCTAAAATAGGTGTTCTTATCAATTTCGCTTTCAATTCCTCAAACGCCTTCAGTTCGACATCCGTAAATTGAAACGTAGCGTTCTTCTTAAGTAAATCGAACAGAGGCTTAGCAATCATCAAAAACCCCTCAATAAATTTCCGGAAATAGGAACATAATCCTATAAAATTTTGAATCTTTCGTATGCTCCGAGGAATCGGGAAATTCGTTACATCCTTAATACCGCTAGCTGTTGGACTATATCTTCCGTGGTAATCAGATAGCCCAAATATTCGATTTTGTTGAACATAAACTTACACTTATCAATTCTCAGATTTTTAGCTTATTTTCTACTAGTAGTCTAAATACTCTTTTCAACACGATCAAATGATGCTTTAGGGACTTCGGCAAGTATCATCTATGTATAGATTATAGAACGTTGAATAAGTATATCGCACCGACAAATTATCCAATCCCGGTAATTGAAGATCAGATTAACGTCTTGAAAGACAAAAATTATTTCAGCATATTAGATTTGAAGGATGGATTTTAAACAGATTAATTCGATCAGGGAATGTAATTGTTTATGTCGACTTCTAGCAATCAAGAAGTCATCGACATAAATAATTACATCCCCTGATCGAATTAATCTGTTTAAAATCCATCCTTCAAATCTAATATGCTAAATAATTTTTGTCTTTCAAGACGTTAATCTGATCTTCAATTACCGGGATTGGATAATTTGTCGGTGCGATATACTTATTTAACGTTCTATAACACAGGTCTACAAAAAAGGGGGTCTTGGATGTTGTCGGGAAGCTGTGAGTCATTTCCGAAGTAATTTTCTGCGTAGAATCCGAATCTGAAACCAGAATTGGCCCATCACTTCAGGATTTTGAGATATTAGGGGATATATACTCGAAAAATGCGTTTTTATGCTACTTTAGAGGTTATGTACAGGACGCAACCAATTTTTTGGGTCTTTTGTGCTATTTGCATCATTTAGTAATATTCTTACCCTTCAAAATGAGATATTGATCGACTACCTACGATTTTTTTTCGCCAAGTTACGGGCATTTTACTTTTGGCATTGTTCCAACGCCTTAATGACTCAACACATGATTTACAAGCTACGTGTGGAGCCCAAGACTTATCTTGATTGGATATCGAAATGTTGAAGTAATTGCGGTAAAATGATTTCACATTATCTTCAAGCTTTATCCTGTTCTTAACAAACGTGAAACGACCACAAATATAACAAAAACTGTTAGGATCATTTAAACACTTACGCGGGGCCATTGTTAAGACAGCAAACAGTCACAATTGTGACTGTTTATATATTAGGACCTTGAATAACGGACAGCGCGTCTTGTGCGCTGCGGCTCTGAGTGCAAGGCGTCTACCAACTTTAAACAAATCATTAGTTTTAAACTTATTAATGCAATGAAAATGAAACTTTCCAGAACATTTGTTCATATCCGAATGAACAACTTTCTCGCTGAAAGTTTTAGGATGCTCGAAATTCGCTCGATAAACGAAGCACCTGAATGCATAAAAAAGGATATTTTGCAGGTGTGTATAAAAAAAATAATAAGTTGTTTGTTTATTGACAAATATCGGTTTTTCTTTCTTCACTAGACGTGGAAAACTCTAATGATCATAACTTCGAAAATAGCAAAAAAACGCATTTTTCGAGTATATATCCTCAAATATCTCAAAATCCTGACGTGATAGGCCAATTCTGATTTCAGATTCGGATTCTACGCAGAAAATTACGTCGGAAATGACCCACAGCTTCCCAACAACAAAACCTTGTTGACCTGTGTAAT